GGCTGTACAGTATAGGTAAAATAATATTAGATGCAAACATTACCTCTTCAATATGTTGGAGAGCTGCAGTAGTGAGATCAGGTGAATGACCAGGTATCCAGTATACTCCACCTTTGTATAAGGAATGGGTACTGAAAATATAATCCTTTGCTACTTCCTGAGGACATGATCCTAAAGTACCTACCAGCAACTAATAAAAAAAATATAAATATAAATAATGATTAAAGTTGATACACTATGCATCAGAAGAATTATAAAAGGGGAGAATTCTCTCTAAGTCATTTTTGACAAAATACTATTATAGTACAGGGACTTTGGCCTAATTTTTGAGTAATTTTAAAATTCGTAAAAAGTTCAAATTTGATCGGATTCAACTGAAACTTGCTACACAACATAAGAACATGTATATGTATCAGTAAATATTATAAAAATGAAGCATTCTCTCCTAGTCATTTTTGGCAAAATTTGGTCAAAAACCCTGTACTATAGTACAGGGACTTTGGTCTGATTTTTGAGTAATTTTAAAAATTCATAAAAAATCCAAATTTGATCGGAATCAACTGAAACTTGCTACACAACATAAGAACATGTATATGTATCAGAAAATATTATAAAAATGAAGAATTCGCTCCTAGTCATTTTTGACGAAATATAGTCAAAAACCCTGTACTATAGTACAGGGACTTTGGCCCAATTTTTGAGTAATTTTAAAAATTCATAAAAAGTTCAAATTTGATTGAATTCAACTGAAACTTGCTACACAACATAAGAACATGTATATGTATCAGAAAATATTATTAAAATGAAGAATTCTCTCTTAGTCATTTTTGGCGAAATTTGGTCAAAAACCCTGTACTATAGTACAGGGACTTTGGCCCGATTTTTGAGCGATTTTAAAAATTCCTAAAAAATCCAAATTTGATCAGAATCAACTGAAACTTGCTACACAACATAAGAACATGTATATGTATCAGGAAAAAGTATAAAAATTGAGAATTCTCTCGTAGTCCTTTTTGCCAAAATATTTTTGAGTAACTTCATGTATAATAATATAGCTCACTTGAACATCAGCTCTTTGCGGATACAATAGTGCTTTCTGTAGCTTTAGCTCTCTCTTTTTATTATTATCAAAACCAATACTCTCTGATATCCTTGGGACATAATTAGAATCAACCAAAAGGCTCTGCTTAATCTTTAACAGCTCATTCAATTGAGGGAAAGAGCTAGGATCTCCGATCCTCTTTTGTAGCTCATTCCTCTTCTCTTGGGCAGACGTATTCTTCTCAAACTGAATCTCCCTCCCTTGCAGCTGATAGCCGGACCAGTGTATATACCCACTGTACTTAGCATAGCAACGAATGCTGTGACACGCCTTCTGTAGCGCTCTAAAGCTAGGCAGACCATCGACCAAATACTGATAAAAGAAATGCATAAAGAACGCGGCAGACTCATCAGGGACTCTCCATAGAGACGTAAGGACAGACTGAGCACCTGCTAGTAAAAAGGACCGGGCTATTCCTTGTATGCCGTCCATCTTTACAATACCACGGCCACTATCACAGCTACTCAGTACCACTAGAGCTGCAGGGATGGTGAGGGTCTCAATATCCTGTGTAACAAGAAGGACAGACTTTGCAAACTCTGGGTCTGTTGCAACTG